CTTTTTTTTTCTCTTCAGTAAGTGTGACCCAAATTGTAAGAAGTCTACAGAGGAACCAACCCCCACCATTCGCCCCACCTCCTCCACCACAAAACCAGGCTGAGAATGGAGCCAAGGACAAGTCCAAAAACAGGAGCGCCTTAATGAAATTTTTCAAAAAATGATTTTTACATAACAGATTTGACCTTCTCTGCCTTGATGTGGCAGTAGTTGAAAATTTACTTCTTTTAAAGGCTATTTATATTTGAATCTAATATTATACATTATTGTTATTATTTGATAGAATCGACGTTTGGTAGAATCAATAACTTTTTTTTGTGATTACAGATGTGCAATGATACCTCGTAAATAATTGTTTGCGTGTATAGAATTCCAAGATATACACTAAATAAATGTTTCACAAATACTGTTAAATGTTAAAATGCTAATGTTAAAAACTAAAATCCATCAGATCAGGAGTTTTTTTTCATAAATTATATATTTTTGTTATATGAATAAAAATAATGTGCTTGCTTCTGATTGTATTATATTTAAAGATTCTAGTGCTGATGAAGATGTATGCTGTGTAGGGTGGGTTGAAAAGTGGGTAAAATGGAACAAAAGGTATCATGATTATTGCCATTTAAACCGGAGTAAACAATAAAATATTACTATCATCAATAATTGCTGTATGTGTCTTTGTTATAAAATTAATAAGAACAAAAAGCAAGGTAAAGCAGTGCTTACTGTATTAACAAGTCTACAATTATTACATTATCTAAAAAAAAAAAAACTGAAATCTGATAGTATTATCTGTGCTCCATCATTAATTTATCAAAAACTTTTGATCCCACTTTTGCATATTGCAACCTATGTACAATCAGATCATATAAAGCAATTTGACTGTCGTAAGACGCTCCTAATAACTCAATTATGCGGTTAGTTACCTACCACACGATGGCGCTACAGACTAGGAAAAACGATTGTTCTCCGTCTTTGAGAAGATCTAGCACAAAAAGCCACCGTGTTCGAGTTTATAAACATTTCATCATTTTAGGGCTAATTCAGAAACAAGTTTTTTTTATTGTATAAACAGTAAAAGGCAAAAAAAAAAAAAAAAAACATAATTCTCACGACTATTACCGGATATGTACAACTTTGAACTATTTTTTTAACATAAAATGTATTATTATTAGTCTATCATTAGCTATTATTTTAGTTATGATGTATGCGTCGCACAACAATAATGTATAAACAGAATGATAATGATTATGCACGATTTCATTTCACGATTTCGATTTTTTATTTTTTATTTTTGTCAGTGAAACCTTAATGTGTGACCTTAATTTTGTGGTCGTCTTTGGCAAGAACACTAGCATATTATGAATAAATACATCTCGCATTGTTTTTATTGATATATTTATACTGTTGTTCTAGCAACACGATGCAGCAAAATGATATCTCGATCAAAGAAATAGCCTATAGTAGGCTACAACACTGCAAAAAAAAATGCATTTACGAGTTTTGTTTTGAAATTTTCATTCAACTCAAGATTTTAGTTAAGACAGGATTGAAGAGGAAATTAGGCCTAAGAGTAGACTATGGCTTAAATTGATCTGTTTACCTATTTATTTGTCTTTACAAAGAGAAGAAACATTTTTACTTTGAATCATTCTCAAACTGGATCTATGAGATACATTTTTGCATGAGTTGTGACATTTACTATAATTTAATACTAATATATATATATATATATATATATATAGCGACTTTACCCAAGAAGCGCAAAAGAGAAGATGTGCTGTAATTTTCCCTCGCCGCTAGAGGACACTCTAATAAAGACAAGCTCCAAAAGACGGGGTTGACTTTGTGCAGGATAACCTCCCTGTTTCAGTTCTCATTTCAACACAGGCGTATGTTTGTTAAGGTAAGTGACAACTGTGTTTATTTAAGCGACGTGCTCATGAACATTTCAATCATTTTAGGAAGAGCCCACATAACTGTGGAAAACTTTAACCTACTATCATCAACACAACCGTAGGCTACTGCTATAAAAGATGGAGATGGTGTTATGGTCTAAATAAATATATTAATGGACATTATTTATTGGAAATAATTTCATTAAACATTTCAGAAAATATCAAACACTGTCTTCATACTCATAGAACCATCAACATTTTACTTTAGCCTATAGCCTATTGTTGCAGGCGTAGCCTCAGTAGGCTATGCATTCATGTTAGTTCAATGCAAATAAACAAATATTGAAATAATAAATAAGTAAATAAATATTAAAATCTCGTTTATTTTAAAATTCGTTAGCACAAGACGTGGCCATAGTTTTGACATATTATGATCAGGGCTTAATAAAAAACCAACAATAAAATGTGCCGATTAATAGGCTATTTATCAAACACAATAGGCTACATCACATATAATAATGTGCCATATTTATGTAATTAACCGGATGATAATATTACTCAGGCTACATGTTTTCAACGGCCCGTCGCAAACCATAATGAACTTTGCAATGCTGCGAAAGCTCATGTTTGATATGGGCTAAAAAAAAAACAATATAGCTATCAATAATGAAAACGGGCAAAATGCATTTAGCTACTTAAAGGAAAATGTGTGGACAACTGTAATCAAATAAGGAAAGTATGAAAATGTGCGCATTATCCGCATACCTATTTCTAATCGGTTTGATTTTTGCACCTATGGTGCACTTTAGCTGCAGTCAGACAGTGACGAAGAGACATGAATATATTGTTTGCTGAAGGTGGGCTACAAACGTGTCGTTTATAAAAAACAACCTAATATGATCGAGTCACATGCAGCCTCACCCGCTCAAACTGTTATTTTCTCTTCGGCTTTGAAGGGTTAATAGCTTTATCAAAGTACATTAAAAGCAACATGTGGGATGTGCGTTGAATACAAACGGTCTGAAATATATGCAGTCACTGATGTCATATTTATAATTATTATAGCCGACTGTGCAACTTGTGCCAGAGTTTTATGTTTTTGTTGGATATCAGGTTTAATGTATGATTCCAATAAAAATGTGTGCAGTGCAACAAATATTATCTTATGCAACAAACAGTTCATGTCGACCAGTAATCCTTAGGTATGTTCTCCATAAAATATCTGACTAAATGTTACATTTTGAAATGAAATAATATCGCACAGGCTATCGCATATTGGTGTGGGTTAATGCATTTGGTCACTTCTATAGTATAGAAAATAAAGGGTTATTTAATCATGCAAAACAAACACAACATAAATAATAATAACAGTTTGAAAAATATATATATATTTTTTATTGTTATTTATGTTTCTGTGATAGGCTGAATTTGGTCAAATAAGTTTGATTGATTTGAATGTTTTTATGAAACTATATGTTTATAGGCAGGCCTGAGTTTATTATTAAAATTCCACCTTGTGGGAATCCAGTACGCTTGTTTGTTTATTTGTTTGCGTGTGTCTGTGTGTACGATTTGTTTGCACATGTGAATGCGTGTGTCTGTTGTTCAGTCAACCCCCCTGCAACGTCCCCAGCACAAATACACACATATCACCCCTTCCATTACTAGAGAAACATCAACCGTAAATATAAAGCAACTAATTGATGCCGTTATTCGCGAGGTTATTCTTGCGTCCTTAACCAGATTGATTTGATTTAGTATAATTTATTTTAAAACTATAGATCTATAGTTTGCACTGTAGATCTATTTCTTAAAAAAATACTAGGGGCCTTAACTAGTGCTATTCTGGTATATAAAGTCCTTATTTTGTGTTGGGAGCTCTTTGTTTTCTCTAAATTCTTATAACAGATATAGCCTACTCTCCATCCTCTACAAATATTATATTTCCTCCACTTATGCGAGAAGTTTGTATGCGGACATTTCTGATAATAGACCTTCTATATTTAGCCTATTGGTTATTGTCTGCCTTGTAAATAGCTAAAGCAATAAAAATAACTGCATGCGTCTGGTTTATCACGTTAAATTAATCATCTAACGTAGGCTACCCAGAAATAAACGATCATCTACTTGCGTTATTATTAGCCTATTATTATTATTACTATTATTTTTATAGCCTAGTTATTAGTAGTAAAAAAGTGTAGGCTATCGTGTTATATCGTTGTTCTTATCAACTGTCTCTCTTGTAATTGTTGATATGATATTGTTCATGGTGGTGCTTAGTAGCATGATTATTAACACGCTAGAAATAAAGCCTAGTTATTAGTAGTAAAAAAGTGTAGGCTATCGTGTTATATCGTTGTTCTTATCAACTGTCTCTTGTAATTGTTGATATGATATTGTTCATGGTGGTGCTTAGTAGCATGATTATTAACACGCTAGAAATAAAAATGCTTATAGCGTCTTACTATGTGGATGAACGTCACATATGGTTTATGTTCAGAATCGTTTAGCTGAATAAACGTGCGACTAAGTAGGCTATATTGCTACATGCAGCTACGGACTTGACACTTTTAAGAAAAACTGTTCAAATGTGATATATAGCCTACGCGAGAACGAATAAGTAGCCTATATAACATCGTATGAATATAGCCGATCGCCAGAAAGGATCTGCATTTAATGCAAACGCTACAAATATTCCGTCGCTGTTCAGCGAGTATTCTCAATTAATGTTATACCTAGGCTATGTGCTGTAGCTTCATGTGTATTAAAAGCCATACATTTCCGATACAGGAAGTAGTACCTGTTTTTTGTGGCTACCTTTTAGTCCCTTTTGTTTTTCCCCCTGCGGTATGAAAACAAATTGAGGACGCATGGATATGTTGAAACAGCACTCTACAATTATAAAAAAAAATTGATTGAGGTTATGTGGTCTGTTTTCTTGGTAGGAGTTTGCTGGGGAAAATGAGAGCCATTGTTGACTGGGCATGAGCATTGGTGGATCTTGTGTATCCTTACGCACTGGAACAGGCGCTAAGAACTGCTCAATGATTGGCTGCGCGGTTAATACTTATGCTGCTGTGGTTGGCTGCAGTCTCTAAAAAGGTTCAAGCTATTTTTTACAGCTTAGTGTCTGTGGCTCCGTAATTAATTGTAGCTAGCTGTCTCATATCGACGTGTTTTTAAGGAACATGAAATAGTTGTTGTTTTTTTAATTAGAGGAGTTGCCAGAGCAAGAGATTTGAAGTCCAACTGCTGCTGCTGCTGGTTGTTGCTACTCTATCTTACTTGTGATGTTGGATATGGGAGAAAGGAAAGAAGTCAAAATGATTCCTAAATCATCGTTCAGTATAAACAGTCTGGTTCCCGAAGCCGTGCAAAGCGACAACCACAATCATCATCACCACCAACACCACAGAGCGGTGCATGAGGAAGAGGAGAAGACTCCTTTACCTGTCCAAGCACAGGAGCAAAAGTCGGAGAACACTTGCGCTAAAAGTGACAATTCATCGCACGACTCCTCGTGCACGGACGAGAAGGAGAAGCAGGAAGAGAAACGGGACTCGAAGGAGGGCGAAGGAGGCAAAGAAGGCGACAAGAAAAACGGCAAGTACGAGAAACCACCTTTTAGCTACAACGCTTTGATTATGATGGCTATTCGGCAGAGTCCGGAGAAGCGGTTAACCCTTAACGGCATTTACGAGTTCATTATGAAAAATTTCCCGTATTACCGAGAGAACAAGCAGGGATGGCAGAATTCCATCAGACACAACCTGAGTTTGAACAAATGTTTTGTCAAAGTGCCCCGGCACTACGATGACCCCGGGAAGGGGAACTACTGGATGCTTGACCCCTCCAGCGACGACGTGTTCATTGGCGGCACAACGGGCAAACTTCGGCGCAGATCGACCACTTCTAGGGCAAAGCTGGCGTTTAAAAGAGGCGCGAGGCTTACTTCCACCGGACTGACATTTATGGATAGAGCTGGCTCTTTATATTGGCCCATGTCGCCTTTCCTCTCGCTACACCATCCGAGGGCGAGCAGCGCATTGAGTTACAACGGCACGTCGTCGGCTTACCCTAGTCACCCAATGTCCTATAGCACAATGTTGACTCAAAACAGTTTGGGGAACAATCACTCTTTCCCTGCCTCCAATGGCTTGACTGTTGACAGGCTCGTGAATGGAGAGATTCCGTACGCCACACACCACCTCACAGCGGCCGCTTTGGCCGCCTCAGTGCCATGTGGGCTCTCCGTGCCCTGCTCCGGGACGTACTCTTTGAATCCGTGTTCAGTGAACCTACTGGCGGGCCAGACCAGTTACTTCTTCCCCCACGTCCCTCACCCATCCATGACCTCGCATAGCAGCACGTCCATGAGCTCCCGGGCCGCCTCTTCCTCCTCCCCGCAAACGGTCTCCTCTCTCTCGTGTGACTCCTTAAGGCCTTCCCTGACTAGTTTTTCCTCCGGACTTTCCAGCGGACTTTCTGACTACTTCACACATCAGAATCAAGGGTCAACATCAAATCCACTTATACACTAACTAGCATCCACAGGATCAGACTGTAAGTGAACATTTTACACCAATTTACACTGTAATATATATAAATGAAAAAATTAAGGAGAACGAACGGACAATGCAAGCCGAATTCCAGGTATTTTGTATTATTATTATTATTATTCTGCATTTATTTCTGACTGTATACAAACGTCAAGTGTCGCGGAACTGTTTATTATTCCACTGTCAGCAACGTGCAATGTGACCAGAGTAAAAAAAAAGGATTAAACATAGTTTTTGTTTTTGTTTTTGAAAAGGCAGTATGATTGCTTTAGAATGTTTATTTAAATAGTGGTTGCAGTTTTGTCTAATTTTAAATGTTAAAATATCTAATACGTTACAGAACAACCTCCAGTCATCATGTTTGCAGTATTATCACGTCATGAGCACTGGTGGGGTGAGATTTTTCAAAAATTAACGCAAAGTTTTATTTTCATTTTTAAATAAATGTTCTATAAGTGCACAGTGCCCGTTCAAATCCGTGGCTCCTTGTTGTTTTGTTCTTTTAATAATACAGACTGAATAATGCATCTGTAGTGCATTTATACATATATTAACAATACAGTTTCTTTGTAGACCAAAGAATGGGTATCAATCAACAAAATATAGTTTTTTTTCAGTATTCATAACGTTACAGACAGTTCTGAAGGAGACAGACGCAATGAATGCTTTTAGCTTGTGTTTGCATATTTACTGTATATGGTCACCACCATGCAGGTCACATACTTTTTGTAATTAGTGAAATGTCAATACCTGTTGTAATTATAGGTTAACTTTGCGAACGTGTAACCCGTGTTGAGTAAATGCCTCATAAAATATTGAGTGATTGTTTATGTCGTCTTTAAATTCCATGGTTGTGATTTTGTGGTCTTATGCCCCGTGTTTGTCGCTTAAACTGTTAACCGAACAAAATAAAAAAAAAGTAGGTTAAGTACATTTTGCTACGAACATTTTGTCTTTTTTGAAGAGCTAGCATTTATAGTAGCTGTCTGACAAGATACTGATTAGCATAGTGTGTTTAATAAAACATTTAAGCGACAGTTTGCGGGTATAGCCTACCTGAAGGCCCCGGCCTGCAATGTGTTACAAACCTAAACTTGCATATTTATTTTAGGAAAGGGGGACGAAAAAATGACACACACACAAAATATTTTGGGATGTTTTACTCTTTTAGCGATACGATAAAAAAGAGCAAACAATGGCAGTCGATAGGCTATAGACTAGAATATTATTAGGCTATATTAGCCTACTAACGTAGGCCTAACAAACCTTCCTGAATAATGTGCCTAAACATCCAATTCTTCCATTTCTTTGGGTTACTTTATTCTATTTTATTCTGAAATATTTTGCTGTAGTTTATTACACATTTATTACAAGCGTCTCCTGGTTGTAGAGGCCATACAAAGCAATGCATAACACTGTCAGCTCTTGTTTTTCAGCCAACAATAGAGTCATTAGTTGCAATAGTACAGAGCAACAACTTAGCTTTCAACTTGAAGTCCAGTAATTTGTTCATGTTTTTAAAAGAGACATTGTGCTAAATGTGCCCAACCGTAATGCAATAACCTCTGTGCTTTATACAATAGACCGTGAAATGACTATTTTTAAAAACCCTTCCTTGGCGCCTTTGATAGTTTAATTTTGCTGCTTGGTATTAGTTCACTATACAACCCTATGAAGAGGCCAGATTCGAATATGTCATATAACTCAGCTTTAATGCTTATTCCCTTTCGCCAATTCACAGATAATGGTGTGGTAAAACGAAGCTTTAACGAAGCTGATCCAACTCTGAAGCATTAAAATACTTGTAAAATGCAAAGGACGTTTTCCTCTCTTCAAGTAATATGAACCAGACGAGCCAGGCAGAGTGAGGGCGCTAGAATGACACAGAACTGTAGTGACATTAACTTCATATCTTTGCAAAATACATGGCCTCTCGTAAACTTAGTTTTCCCTGAGGCAAGACGAACTGTAATATCATTTACAAGCTGTGAAAAAACCCCACAAGAGATAATACAGAAATTTGCCCCAACTAAACAGCCTTCTAATATATTTTAACAATTATATGCACAAAACACAAATAAGCTGTGGAATGTTTAACCATTATTATTATTATTAAATCGATAAATCAGTAACATTAAAACCAACAAAATTTAACAAAATATTAATAAAATCATAATGTGTATAAATAAATAAATAAAAATCTCACTTTTGTCAGAAGAGTGAGTACAAATGTAGGTTATCGTGTCATACAGCTCCATGATTTTTTTTTTTTCACACACAAAAAGGACACTTTTCCTTTAGCAATATAAAACTAGATTTACTTTGCTATTAGACCAAGTAGGTTAATCTTCTTAGTCTTTGAGTCAACGTGCTATTTTGGAAGAGGGTTTGTGGTATATCCCGGTCTATATTGTAGTAAAATATTTGCTTTGTGAAAGAAAACATTCGACAGATCGTGAATAATCGTTTTAATGAGTGTGTGTAAAGCTCCTGACTTAGTGAAGTGAGCTGTCGAGTTAAACAAACAACTTGTATCATGATGAAATGATATTGTTTAAAAGCAAATGTAGTTCTCTCTGGAATTTTATATACGGAATTCTAGTTATTCCAGATACTTTAAAACGATCCTAGTGTTTTGACAAGCAGACAATAAAGAAGCTTTTCATATCAAGCAGAGACAATGTCGCAAATTAAAATAGCCTACATATTTGTATACTTCTTTTGACAAAATTCTCTATCGAATTATTATTAGTTAAAATACAACATGCAAGCTAATTATCCAATTTTATCTGTTATAATATTATCAGACTGGGGCTTTTTGTGTCTTGTGCTGAAAAAAAATGCTACACTCTTGCAAATACGCTAAGTAGGCTAAGGTGTGACTAGAGAAGGGTTCCAATCAGAAGAGCAGTATCACTCATTTCAATCCTTGTATGTTTTTGGTCTAAATTGTAGTCTTGCTTTACTACGGTTTTTAACCACAATAGAGGGTCAAGTCTCCACTGAGAGACTATTTGTGTTCCGGGTCGTTTGGACGTTAACCCCAATGGAATAAGCAGCCAAAAATAAGTAAGGTGCATCATATTTAGTCTAAGTAAAAATAAAAAAGTCAAGTTCTGAAATGATTCATTTTAATTATTTAATGTTTAAATAAAGTTGTATTTCTAAAGTTACGCTCTGTGTCCCTTGGCCTATTTATTTATTTATTTATTTATTTATTTCTACCTCTATTTCTCCCCACTCTTGTCTCTCTGTCTATCTCATCTTAGCGTGCTGGTGAACATGAAAGCATTGCTCAATAAAAGATTATAAATTAATAATTTTGTCAATATTTCTCGCGCAATAGTCTATTGCTGTCTCAGCTGATCAGAAATATTGTGAATTTCCAATGTCAAAATATTACTGTAAAACGGGGGAAATAAAAGCTTTCAATTGGAGTATGCGCGGTCATTTCACCGCATTGTCTGTTACTACACTCTTAAAAATAAAGGTGCTTCAAAAGGTTCTTCAAGCGATGCCATAGAAGAACCATTTTTGGTTCCACAAAGAACCATTCAGTCAAAGGTTCTTTAAAGAACCATCTCTTTCTTACCTTTTTATAATCTGAAGAACCTTCTTTCGCCACAAAGAACCTTTTGTGAAACAGAAAGGTTCTTCAGATGTTAAAGGTTCTTTATGGAACCATTTAGACCAAAAGGTTCTTCTATGGCATCGTGAAGCACCTTTATTTTTAAGAGTGTATAGCGGTGTAGACAGCTTTTGGTGACTAATCATTTCTTGTCTGTTAAGATACAATATTTATGTATTTATTTTTATTTTTAAATTTATTTATTTTTATTTTCTCACAGATTTTCTGGTATTGCAAAAATGTTAAAACGCCAAAGGCATATAGCTACTGTTAAATGTTTCGTACATCATGCAGTTTTGACGTTGCTGCTGTTTTGCGCCTACATTTTCCCTCGGGGGATATGTCCCTGTCTGTCTGTCTATCTGTCTATCTCAACCGAATTATTTTACTATTCATTTTAATAGTCTGAGCTTTAATATCGTTTGTTCTTTCTTATAACAGACCTCAAAGGCATTTTTGAAGAGTTGTGTGACACATAAAAGACATGCGCTAAAGCAATATGTTTAGTCTGGTGTATTTAGTCACAAGAAGGAAACACCACCTGGGATGCATGATGTAATAACATTCATTCAGGCTAACGAACAACAACTATATATATGAAATAAATTATTATTATTACTTTAAATATTAGACCAATGTTATTTTGCCACTATGGTTTTGTCAGTTTTATTATTTATTAAGTAGCCTAAACAAAAGTTTTCTTTAGGTTTAAACGTTACCAACAGGTGCCAAAATTCTTCTTGTTACCTGCCATCACTCCTTCAGTTGTAAAGCACTATCTATCAAAAGCAGCCTCGAGACAATGCGTGGAATCACAGCCTTCGTGCTATCAAATTGCAAACTCCCAGTGCGGGTTGGGTGTCCGAAACGGAACCAACAGGCTTACAAAAAGGACTGCTGATTGTAATGAATTCCCACTCGCGCCTCTGAAACGACTGATGGATTAATGCAACAAGCTCTTATTTGTGATGTCACATCGGTGTGAGCATCTTGTTAAATTAGACATTATTCTCAAAGGTCTATGCTGGGTTTTTTTTCTGTGAACACATAGTCCTACTAGGCTATATGTGTGTCACAGCGTTATGTTGTTGGGTAAATGCTGTTTATTTTGATGCCACACTAACCTTCATAGTCAAAAATTATTTGTAGGTAAAATTATATTTTATTTTATTATAATTTAGAGATTTCACAAGCGATCCTGATTGTGTAAACACATAGACCCATGGGGTTTAATGAAGCCATTGTAACAAATTGGTCTACTGAATCATATAGTGCCAGTTTCTGCTTAATAATTCTAAAACCTAATGGAATTGTGGCAAACACAGAGTAACAACAAAACGAATATAGTGAAAATAGAAAAAGCTAATGGCGATACACTGTTGGACAATTAAAAAAAACAAAGCAAAACAACAAAAAATAAAGAACAAAGCAACAACAATAATAATAATAATTATTATAATGATAATAGCCTAATAATATTAATGCAATGGTAGATCGCCTTGAAGATCTTCAATTCATCTTCAAAATCAAATCAAATAAGCTAAAATTGGGTCTGACAAAAGCAATGAAAATATTAGAAAGAAAGAAAGAAAGAAAGAAGATCTGTTCGCTGTGCTGTCAGTTTGGCCAATCGAGCACAGATGCTTCTATTGATTCTTTAGACTTCCGCCCTTGCTGGTGGACAACACGCCATAGTGTCTTGAAAGACTAAACCTGAACGCAAAATATATATCTAGGGCCTATACGTATCACAAAAAATGTGTATTCTTTTTAAAACCAACGTTTAGGCTGTTTTAGACAAACACTGAAGATGTTATGTTGGTTATTCAGTGGAGGCGGAGGAGGCCCAGAGGAGGATGGGCCTGGCCTTTAAGATGGTCCCATCATAAACACGCGTAGGTTGATAAAGCCACAAAGCCGTGTCTTGCCTCACTGTTTACAGACAACGTTGACTATTTCAGTCGATCTATTCCTATCCGTTGTTTTTGAATTATTTGGACGAACTAATTCGACCGGTTCCTTCAGGAGAGAATGAAGATATTTTCCCCATTCCGTCTTTTGGGGTGAGGCAGGTTGTCTGTCAGTGAGGTATAGGCGACAGTCTGTCTACAAGCCGTAAGCTGATCTGCAGAGTGCTAGAGGAAAACGGGCAAGATTCCTGGCCTGCAAGCCGAGATATTGATCTACCTCAGCCACCTAAACAAAGCCTCACCTGTTTCCCTTGTCCATACTTTATTTTATG